AAAAAAAAAAAGAATGTGCTGATATGTTATCCAAGAAATATTAAAACAGATTAAAAAGAGACATTAAAAACAGCTAGCTATAACATATGTAGCAGGGGGGGACACAAGAAAGGCAGTATATACAGAGAAGACAAGTAATGATTCTATAGCATCTTACCACGCTGATGGACAGTGACTGTAATGGGGTATGTGGGGGGAACTTGATAATAGGGGGAGTCTAGTAACCATAATGTTCAAGTAATTGTACATTAATGATACCAAAATAAAATAACATAAAATAAAATATTAAATTAAACTTTTAAAAAACAGCTAGCTATAGAACACTATGATCTCATTTGTGTTTTTTAAAGGATTTATATGTATGAAATTTATTTTACATGCATAATATCGTCTAGAAGAACATAAAGCAATAGTAACAGCTTATTGAATACCTACTGTGAACCAGTTCTGCTCTGAGCAGTTTAATTCATTTAATAACGATTATGCTCCTATGATGTAGATACAATGATTTTCCCCATTTAACAGATGAGAAAACTGAATCAAGGATGAGAAATGATTTCTTCAAGGTCACACGGCTATTCAAGTGAAAAAAAAAAGGTTACCTTTAGGTAATAAAATAGGAACTTGGAAGCAGTAGGAGAGTGATTTTATTTTTTATTTCATGCTCTTCTATACTATGTGAAATTTCTCCAATCTACATATATTTTATGTGATATATATCATAATTTTAATATAATAATATTTTCTTCAATTTCATGAACAGAAAAAATTTATACTAACTTTTTTTTGCAGTTACACCCCCAGATTACCAGCCTCCTGGTTTTAAGGATGGTGATTGTGAAGGAGTGATATTTGAAGGGGAGCCTATGTACTTAAATGTGGGAGAGGTACCAACGCCTTTTCACACTTTCAAAGTAAAAGTGACCACTGAGAAAGAACGAATGGAAAATATTGATTCAACTATATTATCACCAAAACAATTGAAAACACCACTTCAAAAAATTCTTATGGACAAAGATGATCTAGAAGATGAACAGGAGCATTATGTAAATGTAAGCATATTTAAAGAGATAAAGTACAATAGTAATAAATGCTTGACTCAATTCTGAGGACTTTAATAGCTCTCATTAAGATTTGTATAAATAATGTATTATAATCATAAACACAAACTTGGAAAGGACTTTAAAGAAGATATAGGCTTGTGGTTTTAACATTTTTTACCTTGGTGCAAATAAGATTGCTCTTACAAATTTAAAATCACAACTATTTTGGATTGTGATTCCAAACAGGGAACAGTCCTACAGGCCCAGCCACCTACCATTTCACCTATCCTCATAGTGTACTCTGAAGAAACCCCTTGGTCTGGAGCATAATTTGAAAATGACTGAACTACTCCAATCCTCCAGCTAATGCTGGAATCCTTTCTACAAACACCTTTATTAGGTGTCCATGTAAGCCTGTGCTTGAATTTCTTCAGGGCCTGGAAAGTCACTGCCCTGAAGCAGCCTGGAAGTTCCTGGAAGGCAGGAAAAGTGTCATTAATCTTTGTAATCTCCTGTGTCTAGCACTTAGGTTTGCAGTGTGTATTCTCAGTATTGGTTGGACAGATGGATGAATAGGAGTATAAAAAAATAAATAAAAATAAATAAATAAATCTTTTATTGTTGTTTTTAATCTCATCTTTGTTGTTTTATTTTATTCTAAATTATGACCATAGTACTTATGTATAGAGACTGACTATTCTAATTTGGGCTCTGTGGTACATCCTTACAATTTGAAAACTCAAATTTTCAAGCAATTCAGTCAAAAAATTTTTCACAAAACCTAAATCCCAGTCAATCTTGTTTTATAAACAAATACAGCTGGGATTTATGTAATATTCTTCAAAATATTTAAAACTCTTTGACATGTCACAAAGGGAATCATAAAGTAAATATTAAACCTGTTATTTCTACCATACCATGACTGAGCTTATCCTTCACTAACTGAAGAGGGTTGAGGCATAATTCAGAGTGTATGCTAACATCTAATATACCAGAGCTATACAAGTTGTAGCTTATTGTGCGAACATGTGCAATTCAGTGCCCACCAGTAATAGTAAGATCTAAGGGTTCTCAGAACCATCATACATTTTTGAGAAAATTGTATATTTTTGTCATTTGTCCTTAAAGCAACCCCACAGAGTAATGTAATATCTTTTACTTTGTCTGGATAAATAAGTTGCCTTGTTATAGTAATTATAGGACCACTTTATTTTTAGCAGTACAAAGTGTAGTGTTATGTTTTAATTAACCTTCACATAAAACAACACAAATTTGTTCATAAACATTTCTACCCAGTTATTTAACTTCTTTTTGAAATGTGTCCTTTTTTTTCCTTTGTGTAATTATGTAGGATGATTTTGACATTGAAACTAAAATGGAAGAACAGAAAAAAAAACCTAGATCTTCTGAATTTGGGGGTAAGAAGTTACTGAAAATGTAGATCAATCTACTTCCAATTCAAGTCTATACCATTTTAACTCTTAAAAAAAATTTTTTTTTAAACAGAACCAAATATAGTTTGTGAGAAAGATGAAATGATGAGGTCTAAAGAAAGCCCAGATCTTTCAATTTCTCACTCTCAGGTATAAACTTAATAGTTTCATCTCACTTTTAACTTGTTTTTTTTTCCAGAAGACTGTTTACATGCTTATTTAGTTATTTCTCTGATTTTCTTACTATATTATTATAGTCTAGGCATTTTAGAAGAAAATGGAGTATTAAGAATGTTTGTTAACAAAATCTGGGGATTATATTTTGAAGTTTTGAGTATATTACTGGTGGANAGGGCTTGAAGAATCTATTCTGAATGCTGAGGTGGCACTTGGCAGTCCCAGGGACCTGCTTGGGGGAAAGGAAGAGGAAGGGGAGGCATCTTCTGGTTCTTCTCCAGGCACATTTCAACCACCCGGCTCTGAGGCCTGTGAAGGGGGAGAGCTAGGTCCCCGAAGAGCCCAGAAGTCCCTTTCCTCTAAGGGCAGGAAGACTAAGGAACACAAGTATGGATATAATACCTGGGTATCACCAACATTAGCATAAAATGACTCAAACAACTGACACCAATAATAATATTTGAAAACTTTGGACTTTAAAAAGGACACGTCCTTGCAATCTCTGGTAGGCAAAGACCTCTCAGTAAGAGACTTTTGCTGACTCTCCACCAGCTCCATCATTCGGTTTTTCCATTTCCATACAGACGTTCCAAAGGGCGATGATAACAATCTCTAGTATCTTTCATTTTAAGGCTTTCCAAAGAGTATCGTAATGTGAATTGTGGTACTACTTGTGTGCAATAGATGTAGAGAAACGATTTGATGAAATTCAGCATCATTCATGATTAAAAACCCTCAGCAAACTAGAAATAGAAAGAAATTTCCTCAATCTGATAAATAATATCTACAGAAAAAAACTATCGCTAACATTAAAAAACTATGACATCACACTTAATGGTGAAATATTGGACACTTTTCTCCAGAGGTGGGAAGCAAGACACGGTGTCTGCCATCACCACTTCTTTTATTATTTCACTGAGGGGCCTAGCCAGTGAAAGAAGATATAAGGATTAGAAAACAAGGGGTAGACAGGTCTTTATTTGTAGATGAAATGATTATATAATGGAAGAAACAAAAGAATCTACAACTATTAATAATCATTACTATGATTAATAAGTAAATTTAGTAATATCACTGGATATAAAGGAAGTATATAAAAATCATTCGTATTTCTCTTAACTAGTAACCAGCAATTGGAAGATGAAATTTAAAAAGTGATGCTATTTGTAATTGCATCAAAAATTAAGTATCTACAATAAGTGCACCTAAAGATGTATAAAACCTCTACACTGAAAGCTAAAGAACAGTGTTGGGAAGACTGAAAGAAGACCCAAATAAATAGAGAGACATTTCATGTTCATGGGTTAGAAAATTCAATATTGTTTAGATGTCAGTTCTTTCCAAATTGATTTGTAGATTCGATTCAACCCTAATCAATTTTTCAACTATTTTTTTGGGTGAATATTGACAAGTTGATTCTAAACTTTATATGGCAAAGCAAAAGACCTGGAATAGCCAGGCAATCTTCAAGAATGAGAACAAAGTTGGGGTAGTTTCAAGGTTTTAAGACTTACTTATAAAGATTCAGTAATTACGACAGTGTAGTAGTAGCACTAATGGAACAGGACAGAAAGACCAAATATATGGTTCCTTGGTTTACAATAGAGGTGCTACTGCAATTTAATGGGGGAAAGGATTGTGTTTGCCAAAAATAATGGATATCTGTGTGCGTGTATGTATATTTTATATATATACACTTTATATATATAAAAATATTAAAAAATTAAAAAAATGCAAAAAAAAAAATCTTAAGCAGTTATTTATACCATCACCCTTTGTATTTACAGTTGGGTACATAATATATTTTTATTGCCTTGGAACAGACATGTTTAATTTTGTTTTCCATATATAGCAAAATTGTGAAATAACATTTAAATAAAATAAATACAAAATTAATGGAATTGATGACTGTCTGCTTTCCTTTTCACTGTCCCTTTCTCCAGTGAGAGCAGGCTAAAGTTCTTATTTTCTGGAAGAGTAGTACCTACTGATCATTTGGGATTTTTCTCAGTTCAGTGAATGGTTGACTGTATACACTGACAGTTTCACTACCTTTACCTTTGTGCTTTTTGTGACAGTAAGAACCAACTCAAAATTATTGGTGTCCATTAACTCAGTATAACAAGATTGAATGTGATTGAATTTTTGGACCCCGTTATTGTGTTGTGAAAGCTTTAATCATATTATGTGGTTTTGTGTATTTTCTTTTCTAGGTTGAGCAGTTAGTCAGTAAAACATCTGAACTTGATGTGTCTGAAAGCAAAACAAGAAGTGGAAAAATCTTTCAAAATAACATGGTAAGTGTCTTTAGATTTGTTTTCCATTATCTTGTAATTTTTCCCCATGTGTGAGTTTATTTTGATTTCTAAAATACTTCATCTATTGGACCAATATTTAGTAAGTGCCTATTATGTGTCAGGTCCTTTACTAGGTGCTACAGATATAACATAAATAACACATAGTTCCTGCTCTTGGCTAAACATTTAGTAATTGGAGGTCAACCAGTGCACTGATACAAGGCCATGAAAACAGTCTGAATAGGCTATATATAGAGGCACAAAGGAGAAAATGGTTAATTTTATTGAAGGTATATTAGATGGACTATTACTTAGCCATAAAAAGAAGTGAATCTTGCCATTTGTGACAACATGGATGAACCTAGAGTGTATCATGCTAAGTGAAATAAGCCAAGCAGAGAAAGATAAATACCATATGATTTATATGTGGAATCTAAAAAACAAAACAAACAACAAATAAATAGACCCATAAATATGGACAACAGACTGTTGGTTACCATGGGAAGGGGGTAGGGGAATGGGTAAAAAAGGTGAAGGGGATAAAGAGGTACAAACTGTAAATTTTAAAATAAGTTAATCATAGGAATGGAAGTACAACATACAGAATATAATCAATAATATTTAACATTTGGTATGATAACGGGGAACTTGACTTAACCATGGAAAGCTTCTTAGTAATGTACATAATTATTGAGTCACTATGTTGTACATTTGAAACCAATATAATATTGTATATCAACTTCATTCCAATTTTTTTAAAGTTTATTAGAGAAGGAAATCCAGGAAAAGCTTTGAGAAGTGACACTATCGTCCAGACTTACAAGGAAATTTCCTAGAACACCAAAGTGTTCCCATGTCCTATCTTGTAAATGGATCATCTTGTTAATTAAAAATGAATGTTTTGTATGTATCTTGCACAAAATGAATCCCATGTTTTTAAGCAAAAAAAAACTATAAAACAAAACACTGCTTTTCATTTTTGGTGTGAATTGTACTAAATAGAAATTCTTTTTTTTTGGACCTTTAAGTTACTCTCAGAGGTTTAGAGATGAAGAAAAAGCATTCTGTAAATGAATAAAACATTACATCCAAAATTATGGAACCAAATAACATGCTCTAACAGTATGCCTGAGCATTTCTTCCCAACTCATTCAGTGACATCATGTTGGTAACTTGAAATTGGACATGATAAGAGTACTGACAGCATATGGAAATCAGCAGATGTCTTGATTTAGGATTTGTTTCTCCCAGAGAACTGATTGTTTAATATTAACCAGCACACTACTACTTATAGTACCACTTTTAGTTGTCCTTTTTCTCATATTCTCAATGGGAAGTTAGAACTGGCAGAAGGCAGCATTCAAACTGGTATGCTGATAAAATAGGGAAATGGCTGTTTTTTTAAAAAAAACTGCATATAATTGCCTATGATTGAAAAATCAAGTGTTGGTTGTTCTTTGAGAAATAACAGATTGACAATTATTCTCTTTATGAGGCTAATGGAAATCAACCAGTAAAATCTTCTAAAGAAAATCGCAAGAGAAGTCAACTGGAATCTGGGAAAACAGTAAGTCTTAAATAAAATGACAAGTATCAGAATATCATTACTGTAAATTAAATTTAAAACAATAAATATGATAATATCTCTGGCTCAGAACTCTGATATACATATTTTGTTTAAGTATAATTGGCTCTAAAAACTGAGATGATTTTAAAATTAGATGTACCATGTTGGTTTATTTTTTGCATGTAAATATATACTGTCTGATTCCGTGAATGATTTGAAGTAGTTGGAGGTACTTATAAAATAAATAAAAATCAGTGTCCAAGAAAGAAAATATAAATAGAATGAAAAAATGAGAGCATGAGTATATTCAGGCCGTTTTACTTATGTAGAGCTAAAATTGGGCCACAAATTTGACCTGAACTTTCTAGAGATCAAAACTAAAGTAGAAACAAGCTACCAGATCAACATGTTCCCTGAAAACACAGCATCTCCTCCTAGTACCTCAAGAAAGAGAAAATTTTCCTGACCTAAATTTCCTGTAAGTTTTTTTATATTTGGAACTTTATTTTACCAAATCAGATAATTTGTCATTTCTGAGATAAATATTAATATTTTTTCCAACCAGAATTTTTAGTATTGTTAGTAGGTTAAAATTAGACAACTGAAATTTTAAAACTATTTTTAAAAATCAAATATTAAAGGTGAAACCCCCAAAGTATAGTTGGTTAATACCATTTTCAATTTACATATCTTAAGCAAATGGAATAACCTGGCATTTCATTAATATATTAGGTTCTTTAATTTTTCCCAATGTATTAAGCCTTGATTTTGTTTTTTTGCAAAGTTACAATCCAGTTTGTATCATTTGTGAGTTTTCCTCCAGAAAAATCAGAAGTTCAGTTACTCAGGTAATCTTGTTAGGAATTTACTTCATCCTCCCCATTCATTCAAATGTGTGATTAAATGTCTAATATCTATTAGGCCCTGCTAAGTACCAGGGATACAAAAACAAAACATTTAACCTTACACGTTCCCAAGGTAGAATATTTATTTATTTGCAGCTAATTTTTTAATCTTTTTTCCCCTCTTACCCCTCCAAAATATTTTACTATTTTGAGAAGATAATGTTAAACCTATCTTTGTAACTATTTCAGCAATCTTAACAAAGACCTGCAAGTATATACTTTGAACAGCCATCAGAGGGTATAAAAATGTCAGTAATAAAATTTAGCCTACTTTTAAAGAACCCAGGTGTCCTAATTTAGTAGGAAATAGTTATGCTAGGTATAATTTTTTTAATAAATAAACCTCAGAGACATGCAAAAGACTTAAAATTAAAGACATTTAAACTTAGAAGTATCTCTACCCTTAGTAGTTGTTTTCTTTTGACAGGTCCTTCATCACTTTGATTCTTCTAGTCAAGAGTCAGTGCCAAAGAGAAGAAAGTTTAGTGAACCAAAGGAACATATATAAAACTTACTTTCGTCTTCTACATATTTGCAAAGTTCTCGATGTTTAAACTAAAGGACACTAGAATACTATTTTAGGTGTCTTTGTCATACCTCTGAAAACTTTTATGTAGTCTTAAGCACTTAATACACTAAAATGAATTCTTACCAATCATAATGTGAACCTAACCTTATCTAAGATAAATCCAAGAGAACTTTTGAGTAAAACCAAAAGTACCAGTGTCATAATTGATTCTGTTCATTAACTACTCAATATTACTCTATCTTCCATTTTGTTGGGCACTTCCTCTGAACATATATTAACTTCTAAGGCCCTCTGAAGCCATTTTTTGAAACAATGTTTATTTTGGTGTGAAATTTTGATAAGAATTCACTTTTTACTAATGTTAAAACTATACCATTTATTTAACTATATTTGTCATTGTGTTATTAAAACAATGTTCTTCAGTGCTTTGATAGTGTATTCACATAATTATAATATACAATTAAATACTGGAGCTTTATCTTTTTAAAAAAATTTTTACTACAAGACAAAATGAGGACAGATTTTTTAAAGTCTGGCATTTTTGGCAGAATAAATAAAATGTTCAGCATCTAGACTTTCATGGCTTCTAGTTTTTATTTAATTAGCAGAAAATGTTTAGGCACTAATTTTGAAATCGTTTTAATAGATGTTATTTTGCAAGAGTTGAGCACACTTCCTAGAACTTTTAAGTGATAGTGTGAAAGATAACTGTGCTTCTAGTGAGAAACTTGGGACCTGGTTCCAGCCTTGACCTTTTCCTTTACTTTTGAAAAGAAAGACATGGTCTTTTTGACTCTTGCAGTTTCAACAGCCACATTCTAAAATCATACATTATCCATGGGTTTGCCAGTAACATGCACTAATCGAGAATGTTGGTATGTATAGGATGGTAGAAATATGCCTATCCTGTTTAATGTAAACCAAATAAACGTCCGCAAACTGAACCAGATCAGGTTTTTCTGGAAAGGAAAGCTACAGATAAGGTAATTGCCGAAAACAACCAATTTAAAAATGCACATTTATTCCTAGCTTTACTGGATCCCAACACATCTCACCTAATTGTCTCAGTATACACTGCTACGGTAACACACTTGCTACATTGAAGTTGACCAACAGAAACCTTCGTAGCGATTTCGGCAGCTGGTGCTTGCTAACTGAACTGCTTGATTGGCCAGTTTAATGTGGGTGGAGAGCAGTCCTCTTTCCTCACTTCAACCAAGGTTCCTTCATTGGATTGACCAGCTGTCAAGTTGAACCCAAACCCGCCCACTTTTGATCGTGTTTGTCGGGGTTGCAACACAATAGCTGCGGGAGAGCCTCCTCTTGTAAACTACGATTGGTTGGGCTCAAACCTGGCGGTCTCTGATTGGTCCAATGAAACACCAAGGTAGGTTGCCTAGTGATTGCGAGGAATCTGATGTGTTACTATTCTGCCTCGAAGGATCAGGAAGTTTTTGCTCTCTGGGTGGCTGAGAAGTTTTTCACTTACTAGGGAGGGGGCTGGGGGTTGGGGATAGGGTGGAACAGGTGTGCCCCTAATAGTGCACAAAAAAATAGAGCGCAAGCTGCAGCCTACGTCTGGCGGTAACCCAAGAGTAAAGTCAGGTAAGCAACGGGGGAAAATATATTTCCTAACGTCCAAAAAAGCCTCCAAATGATTATTTGATGGGGAGGAGGAGGTTTTTATTTAATTTTTTTGCTATTTGTTTTTGTTCCAATTGGGTTTTTAACTAGCAAATGTCCAGGGGGAATTAGTTGCTCAAAGAAAATTTCCCTTAATTTTTTTCTCCCGAAGATGCAGTTTCTTGGATTGTGTTATGAAATAAGCCCTACTCACAGTGCCAGATAGAGTTAGTGCCCATCAGCATTTATTTCACGGTTCTTTTCCAACTTCACTCTTCCCGCCTCCCACCAAGAATTATATTTGAAATATAGCCTTGCACAAAGAATCTTTCATTTCATTTGTATTTCTATTTTAAATGGCCACATGCATTCTGAGTATTGATTTTAATCAGTATGTATTTACTGAGCAGTTACGTTAAAGACATTGTGCTAGTTGCTATGGAGAATATAAAAACCCAAGAAGACAATCTCCCTGCCCTCAAGAAGTGTACAGTTGAGAGAGAGCCGTACCAAAAGAAAGACTGTAATAAATGCTTTAAAGGAAGTAAGTATAAATAAGGTTCTGTGAAAGTACAGCTGAGGGATAGACCAATTCTGGGACGTAGATTCAATTAAGGCTTTATAATGGGTCCTCAATAGGCCTTTGAAGAATGTGTAGTATTTAGAGAGGAAGGGAAAAGAACTCTAGTATGTACGCAGGAGCAGAGGTGGAAGGCATGGGACATGCTTGAGAACTGGTTTGTGAACAGTACAAAATTGGGAGTAATGGGAAGGTAGAACAGTTACAAGGTAGTCAGTTACAGAAGCTCTTGAATGCATTCTTTTGATACTGAAAAGAATTATTTAAATTACTAATTATTTTTAAAATATTGAGTAATTGCTAATTTGAGTATTTTCATTATATATCACCTTAAAAACTGGCATTTAGATTTATCTAAAGTAAAGTATGCTAACTTTAACTTTATCACAGATAATTCAGTGCAGGTTTTTATTACTACATTTTTAAAACAACTACTTGATGGTGTAAAAGTGTGTGTGCTTTAATTTTTTTTGAAATTGAGAAAGTAAGATGCCACGGAGTCCCTATTTGTGTTCTCTGAACTACACTGTCTTCCCGGTGACCTCACACATGTGCACCAATCATGATACCCCACAATCCCCTTCTCCCTACCTCCACCCCACTCTCCCCCACCCTTCCCCTTTCTTTACTACCAATTTGATTTCTGATCAGTGCTTTCTGTGGAATTCAAACTATTGTACTTTGGAAAAGATATTGTGTTATCCACCTAATTTTTCTGGTAATTACTCCTCCCATTCTTTAACTATTTAAGTTTGTAAATATTATCTGCATACATTTTTAATATGCATGTATGAATATCTATCTATGTGTTTATTTATATAAACACACATATTCCTATTTTTTCATCACCCCTGTTAGAAACAGGTAAGAATGACCACTTTAACTCACCGGGCCCGTCGCACTGAAGTAGGCAAGAACTCTGAAAAGAAGGTGGAAAGTGAGAAAGACGCTAAGCAAGACAGGCATCCAGACAATGAAGACTCTGGAGACTCTAAGGATGTCCGCCTCACACTTATGGAAGAAGTATTGCTCCTGGGACTAAAAGATAAAGAGGTAATAATACAGCTGGTTTGCAAAGACTCTTAAATTCTGGATTGTTTTTAAGGAAATAATCCAATAGAATATTTTCATTAATGCTAAATTGGCCTCATAATTGTGCTCTAGCCATCTAGGGGATGAGGGAGTTTGGGAGGGTGGCTGATACTTGGGTGGTAAAATCCAAAAGTTTAATTGACTTGAGTGTAATTAAATTAAAAAACTACTCTAAAATTTTAGAGGATATAGCAAAGTGTGAAGTTTTTGTACTTATAGTTTGCCAAGTGAAATTAATGGTGAAATAATCTCTTACTAAGAAAGAGGGCCCAAGCTTACTACACTGATGGACAATTACTTCAATGGGGTGTGGGAGGGGACTTGATAATAAGGGTGAATGTAATAACCACATTGTTTTTCTTGTGAAACCTTCATAAGAGTGTATATCAATGATACCTTAATAAAAAGATATATATAATAAATCATATATAATATATTAATATATAATTAAATCATATATAATAAATTATTTAAAAACTGTAAAAAAAATAAAAAGAGGGCCCACACATATGTATTCTTGAGCTTTGGGGAGAAAAAGTATCTTAAATAAAAAGACAAGGAACAGGTATGATTAGTTACCTTATAAAAAGAAATAGTAGAGCCACTAGAGCCACAGTATTTACAATAGCTACATTATGGAAGCAACCTAAGTGTCCATCAATAGATGAATGGATAAAGAAGATGTGGTACATACACACAATGGAATATTTTTTTGTTTGTTTCCTATTTCCTTTAGTTTCTGCACTGTCCAAAGAATAAAATATATTTCTAGATGGTTTATTTTCTGGCTGAATTATTTTTTGATGCCCTTTATCCATAGTTCTTAGTGCTGGGTACATATCAGTTCCACTTGGAAACTTTTGTTACTTGTTTGTTTAAAAGACTCCTACTTATCACCCCTGAGGATTCGGATTTCATATTTTGAGGATAGAAAATGAGCAAGATGATTTTTTAAGCAGCCTCAAGATTGATCTTTATTTAGAACCAGGTTTAAAAATGACTTTTTAATATTAGGCAGGGAGAGATATGGGTTACTGGTACAGGTTCTAGAATCAGAATCAGAGGGAAAAAGTTCCAAATACACAACTTGTTGAGTCTGAATTTACAGGAAATTATTTAACCTGAAAGTGTGTGTAAACGTCCTTACTGTGACACCAGGTACTTAGTAAGCATACGATAAATGTTAGCTACATTATATGATTATTTTTATTTTTATTAGAGATGTTTCAGTTTTTCATAGTACATTTTAATCTGCACACAATGGAATATTATTCAGCCATTAAAAAGAAAGAAATCCCACCATTTACAACATGGATGGACCTAGGGGGTATTATGCTAAGTGAAATAAGCCAGGCAGAGAAAGACAAACACCATATAATTTCACTTATTTGTGGAATATAAAAACAAAACAACAAACAAAATAACAGTAGACTCATAGACACTGAGAAGTGACTGGTGGTTATCATGGGGAGTGGTTCAGGTGGGTGAGGATGGGCACAAAATTTTCAATCATTGTATAAATTGATCATGGAGATGGTAGTACAGCATACAGAATATAGCCAATGATTCTGTAACATCTTCCTATGTTGAAAGACAGTAACTGCACTAGTGGGGGTGAGGATTTAATAATATGGAAACTGTTGAACTGTGTTGTATACTTGAAACCAGTATAAGACTGTATATCAATGATACTTCAATTTTAAAAAAAGGAAAGAAAAAGTAGTTTTTTTATGATACAATAGAAATAACTTCTCTGTTCTGTGAATCTGTAGAAGTTAAACATCAACAGTTGATTAGGTTGTTTTATTTCAGAAAAGGTTTTTAAGTCAATTGCAGCTTTCCCTTTCAAAATTTTCCCTTATCAACAGAACAGTTGTTTCATAGTAAAATTAGTCTTGAGAGAGCAAGTGTTACAATATGACTAAATATTCTCTTGGCTTTTCTACCAGTAGTATATATTATCCTTCATTTGTAATTTAACTTTTTGTTTTGTTTTCCAATCAATTTTTTCCCTCATGAAGAGGTTATGAAGATATATAAATGTAATATTTTAAACAGTTTACTTACTTCCAAGAAAGTCTTTAATAAATACAAATAATAAAAATAAAGACGTATTGGCCTCAATTTTGAAAATATATCAAGTTAAAGTGCTATTTTATATTTTAAAAACTACTAAATTTGACTTTAGTAATTGTCCTTAGCTAGAAATGAATTGGCTACGTACATCTAGCAACATCTTTTCTGCATAGATTCCTCACCCTGGGAATACCCTTATTTCTTAGACTCTACATTATATTTTCTTTACCACTTTTCCCTTCTCTGATTTTTGTCATGTCAAAGTACCAATTTAAAGAAAACTTACAAGACTTGTCCTATAACCTGTGTACTGTTAAAACTAATATTAGAGACATGCCCATATGCACTTGGCTGATACACAGACGCAGATACATCAGAAAATCTTAGCCAGAAGTATATTTCCTGTTTGCCAAGAAGGTTGATGAGGCTCTAGTTTTATGAAAGTCAAAAAAATAAAAACAGAAAAGTGACTCTCTAAGAGAATGTCAGAATAGGTCTAAAAATTAAATGGCATAAATACTATTCTGAGGTTTTTCCATAGTGTCTAGGAAACATTGACTGTAGAAGAACTTTTTAGAACTAAATAGCTATTTGGTTTGTTTTGGTTTTGAATAGGAATGATTAAAATTTCTTCTAACCCTAGGTACTAGATTTTTGCAAGTTTATAATAGTTAATATAAACTTAAGGAAATAGAATAAAAAATAAAGGAGCTCATTTAGAGCTATGATCATATAGTGGGTACTGAACATATTGGTAAGATACTGTGTGAAGTTGGGTGGTTAATAATTGACCACCTTTGAATTGTTCTGATTTTATTTTTGAAGGTGATAAATTTTTAGCTTTCAGTTGGCTCAGGAAGAATAAAAAATGATAAATCCTTAGATGTAAACAAATAGGAGAGGTCAAGGCTTCTGATTAATTATTGTTACAAAATACCAGTTACATACCTATCTCTAAAAATGTTACACTGATTTCCAGCACTACTTATTTTCTTCTTATTGCCTATGCTACTCATAGATTTATTTAATCATTATTTAGTGTTATTGGGAACACCCATTATGTGCTTAGCACTCTGCAAATACCAATGTATATGTAAAATAGTAAAATATGTGGTTCCTGTTCTCAAGAAACTTGCATTATAGCTGAGGAGACAAGATATACGTACTGTTTAAAAGTCAAGTGACCTACACAGTGGTATATCCTGAACGGCCAGAAGGTAGGAGCATCTTACCGGGGAGTTTTATCATTATGGCCAGTGCATGCACCTCCAGTAGCACTGTATATAGACCCTTCAGTAACCCCCAGGGGAAAGTATGGTAGACTAGACCTGGAAGGGACTCCCTTCCTGCTACAGTCCTATCACAGGACCACTCTCTTGCATGCATCCTACCTGATGGACAAGATTTGCCTATGTTGGTGGCATTAAAACATGTGTCTTATTGCCCCTAAAGTCTTTGTGGATTGGGAACTTCCTCTGGCTCAAGAATTATTATAATTTTTTGTTATTAGGAACCTCCTCTGGCTTGAGGATTATTATAATTTTTGTTACCTGTATCAAAATCTTGTTGTATCTTAATTGTTATTATCTCTAAGTTATTGGTATCCTCTGTTGCTATTGTGGAATTTGGTTACAGTACTCCAGCTCTCTCGCCCAGGGACCACTGCCGAAGACTGAAATCATGTAGATTGTAAGGCGGAATCCTGGAGGGGTGGAGTGTGGGGAAGTTGGGGTTCCTATGGCCAGGATCCTCACTGAACTTAAACCACCTGATGACATAACTGGCCTGTTGCTAGGCTACCACTTCCACACCTTTAGGGAATAAGCTGTTATTGTGCATTATATAGAGAGCTTGGCCCAGTGCTCTGGGCAGAGGCAGACACGCTAGTGGTTGACCTACCGCCAGGAGAACAAGCCAGGTAATAAACCCTTTCACCGCCACCCCCCTCAAAAAAAGCTAAATGACCTAAAGTTCCATCAGCAGAATGGATAAAAATGAATCATTCACTTATTTAAATGAATATAAATGTATTTTCTATACAAAATGAGAATGAACATTGTTACAAGATTTGTATGATTCTCATATAATGTTCAGTAAAGAAAGCCAGGCACAAAAGAATACATATTGTATGATTCCATGTACATAAATTTTTAAAAATTGTAGTTTTTAGGTTGCATATTTAGGTGGCAAAACTATAAAGAAAAGCAAGAAAGGGATTACTATAGTTGTTAGGGTAGGGGTTGTCTTTCTGTGAGGAGCCGGGAAGGGGGGCTTGCTAGTGATTAGAAAAGAGCATGATGGGTCTTTCTAACAGTTCTCTTTCTGTACTTGGGGGAAGTTTTGTGGATATTTAGGGATAATTCACTGAGCTTTTCACTTCTGTGCACTCTTCTGTGTGTGCATTATGTTTCACGATTAAAATGCATTTTAAATAAATTTTTTTTAAAAAGTTTTTCCATGTTAGAACAAGAGCTGAGGGAGTTGGAGTGAGGAAAGATCATCATGGGTTAGAATAATCTGGAGAATAGAAGGCTGTAAAACAAACTGGGTCTTAAAACAAGCTGGTCTTTAACACAAATGGAGAGAAGAGAATACATTCTGGATGAGGGAACCAGAGTGAGCAGTGGTATCATGAGCTTGATGAACTTGGGAGATAATTAAGTAACCAGTACAATTGAAGTAGGTGGTGGTCTTGGAAAACAATGAGATTCAGAATTGATCAGTTAGATTCAGATCATAGTATGGAGGGTTTTGAGTACCAGAGAGACTTTTAGACTCTTTTGAGAGGATCAGCCTAATGAAAACAGCAAAGCCCTTTTCATTTTTGTTTCCAAATTAAGGATTTAATGATATTTTTGTCCTATGTTCTTTATGAATATGTTTTG